GAAGGAAGGAAGGAATTCCCCAGCCCCACGTGGGCCACCGCATGTACCCCCGACATGAATGATGTCGAGCTGGCCACGCCCATCCCGGCCATGCCCCCACCTCACCCCCATGGTCAAATACAATCCTGATGCAGCCATCAATGAAATCGAGTTTGAAACCCCTGTCCTATGCTCTTTCAGGGAATACTTGAAAATAATATACACTGTGCATGTTATATTCAGTAGCTTTGGGGTAATTCGCCATGTGAACTATGTTGAAAAACTCCCATTCAGCCACACCTAAAACTTCTGTAGGACTTTTTCCTGCCCTGATCAATTTATCAAAGATAGATTGTGGTAGATGTGTTGAAAAAGAGAACATGTTTAGTAATATAATGCTTCATGAAAATAACCCTGGGCATAACTGAGAAATAGTTTGCCATTGTCTTTTTCTGGGAAGATTGAACATTTCTCCACTTCTTGGAGATCGAGTGATGGACAAGCTATTTTCAGGAAATTCATGTTTCAACCCTATTCCACAAAATATTTTAAATGCTCCCTCATTTCACTGGTTTTTAAAAATCAAAATACATGCAAGGTCAACTAAATTGTACTTGTAGTAATAATAAGCAAAGGCTTCGAGTTGAAGGAAACCTTAAAGGTCCTTTACATCAACCTGATACTCAGCACAGGAATCACAAGAGCAGTGTTTCTCAACCTTGGCAACCTCAAGAGGGTGACTGGGGAATTTTTTAGTCATCCCTGCATGTATTTTGAATTTTGAAAAAACATGAAATAATAGATGCTGGAGTAAAAACAGGAGCCTTGGCAATCTTGAAAGACCCCAAATATTTTAAGAAATCTAGTTTGCCAATGCCAATCAATGCAAGTGCCAATCGATGCAAGCGCTCAGCCATCCTTCCATGCGCTTTGGCTATTAAAAAGTGCCTAAATGGGATGCCATAGAGCCAGGGCAGGTGGGTGAGGCCACACATGATTTCCGCTACCACTTCGGGCAAACCAGTCCGAACCAGCAGAATACCACCTCTGAAGCTTGCACTACATGGCTAAAATAATAAAAGTTGAGAGTGAGATTTAAAGCAATAACATTTCTGAGAAATCTACCTATGGGATACATTTTTGGAAGTGTGCATTGGCAGCTGTTTCCCTGCCCCACTGCTGCTTCCTGCCCAGGGGTGGGTTGCTGCCGGCATTACTGCCAGTTTTCGGTGCACAAAAAAGTTGCATATAAAAAGGTCTGCGCACGTGCACAAGTTTTATTATTTTAGCCATGTAGT